TTTCTTTTCTTTTCTTTTCTTTTTTGAGTTGGAGTCTCACTCTGTTGCCCAGGCTGGAGTACAGTGGCACGCTCACGGTCACCTCAGCCTCGACCTGGTGGACTTAGGCGATGCTTCTGCCTCAGCCTTCCAAGTAGCTGGGACTACAGATGGACGTCATCATGCCCAGTTAATCTTTTAGGATTTATTGTAGAGACAAGGTCTCGCCCAAGTAGCCCAGGCTGGTCTTGCTGACCCACCTGGCATCTCTGGGCCTCCCCCTGACCTACTGTGGTGGGAACCGAAGGAAGGCGGCACCCTGGATTGAGAAGGGCATAGAGACCAGGGTCAGCTCGCCAGGTAAGCCACCCGGACCAGCTGAGGGGCTGAGGGGAGTCTTGAATGAGTGACAGGAGAGGGAAACAATAAGTGTCAGCTTTGGGCAATCCCCTCGGGTCCCCTCCCACTGTGGAAGCTTTTCTGTCCACTCAATAAATCCTGCTTTCAAAAAAAAAAAAATAGGCCGGGCTCGGTGGCTCAGCCTGTCATCCCAGCACTTTGGGAGGCTGAGGTGAGTGGACTGCCTGAGCCCGCGGGTTCGAGACCCACCCAGGCAACTTGGCGAGACCCTCTAACCTTCCTCCAGGGAGGCGCCCCGGGAAAGAAACCAACCCGAGTTCTAGACAGCCATTCCTGCCAAGGCCAACTTGTACGATGTGCACGTATCCAAATGGAGCAGGGGGTGTGGCCCCCCAGAGCCCATCCTCCAGCCAGTCGCCTAGAGTCGGCCCTGTGAGAGTTCACAGTTGTGCCCTGCCCCAGGCATGTCCCCCAGCCAGAGGGAGCTGTCTCTCCCAAGGTCACGCCTCCTCAAGGGGCAGCTACACCCGACAACAATACCATGCTCTCTGCCCGTCCCGACTTGAGGTAACGCAGACCCCGTTGGGGTGGGCTGAGGCTGGTGTTTGGGCAGCATCACAGCTCAGCAGTTCCCTCTGCCCAGTCCCATGCCCCTCACACCCCACACCTAGGGCTGCGCCCCCCAAACCCTCCTGCATGCAAACTTCCATCTCAGGTGTGTTTCCTGGGGACCCTGACCTGCAGTCAGGAGCTGGAGCCGCATGGCCAGCCCACCTCGGGGGCAGTGGCAGGGGAGCACGGCCACGGAAATGCCTGGCCTCCACTGGATTCTACTGCCACGCCGGGAAGCGCTTCAGCTAAGAGGCAGTGAGGGGAGGTGGGGGAGTACCCCCAATGAGAGACACCCCCTCCCTGCACCGCACAGCAGTTACGCAAACCACATCATGCTCTGGCACCAGGCAGGCCTGGTTTCAAGACCCAGTTGTGCCACTTATGACTCTGACTGAGCACGTCACTTGCCTCTCTCAGCATCAGCTCCAGCAAAGCAGGGCTACGAAGCCCACCATGGCAGGATTTGGAAGTCAAAACTGCTCGAGTGGGTGGGCTCCAGCCCCACGGTGCTCCCTCAGCCCCATGAAAACCAGCAGGTCTCAACGGGTACCAGGACTGCCCATGTCAGTGTCACCAACTTCACTGACAAGTCCTCTTCATGTTTTCGGCACTGGAGCACCGAGTTACTATGGGCTCATTTCCATTCTCCATGGGACAGCCCATGACAGGCTGGGCAAAACAGGCCCAGATGCCCCCTCAGACATCCTCAACAGCCTGGGAGGCCATGTCAGGGGTGGACAGGAGGACACAAGCACTGCCCTGGTCCTCCAGCATTGAGAACCAGATACAAACCCCACAGTGTTTTTGGGGGGGCGGAGCAAAAGACCAGGTGGGGGGCATCAGTCCCTCAACTGTGGAGTAGGGAGTGCCAGCCTCTGAGGCTGCCCTTGGCTCTCCGCATGCCCTGTGGAGTTCTTGAAGGACTGGGAAATAGGTCAGCACAGAGCCTCGGCTGGTCCACCGAGGGAGCCAACCCCAGTGCTGGATGGGTGAATGAGTGAAGGAATGAATGGATGAATGAATGAAGTAGAGGGTGAGTGGTTGGCTGAGCAATGAATGGGAAGATGAATTCATGAGTCAATGGGAGACTATGTGAATGAATTCAAATCTGAGTGAATGAATAAATGAGGGAGTGAATTAGTGAATGAACAAGTGAATAACTGAGTGACTGAATGAACAAGGCCCCACCCAAGCAGCACGGTGATGCCATCAGGTGCACACACACAGCGGGGCCATGGACGGTGTCATGGCCGCAAGCCCCAGCCATGGCCAGATTCTGGGGAGCCATGCTCGTGGGTCCTCCCCCTCCCACCCCGAAGCCCGCAGTGTACACACCATGACGTTCAGGCCCTGGTTGGTGGGCCCCTGCGCCACGATGTACTCGATGCCGGTCTCGTAGACGTCCATGGGCCGCCGGTACTTGACCACGGTGCCGGCGATGTTGAAGTTCTTGGGGCTGTCAACCTTGTAGTTGCCGTTGAAGAAGTAGAAGCCAGCTTCGTCAGCAAGAGCTGGAAGGGTGAAGCCACGGTCACTCCGGCCAGGCGGGTGGGAGGGAGGAGCCAGAGTTACGCAGTCAGGCACCACAGCCAGCCCGCCCTCCACGACCCTGCCCTGGAGACCACAGACAGGAGACTCCCATCATGGGGAGACGGGCACTCTGCCGATGGCCAGCATGTGGCCCGGGCCAGCGCATACCTTTGAGAGGCAAACACACTTTCCTATCAGCCTAAAAAAAGCGATTGAGGACTCGTCTTAGACGATGGAACAGAATCGGGCATCCAATTGGTCTTATTCTTACAACTCCACATGAGGGGAGCTAAGGGGCTGGAGAGTGGTGAACCAGTGCCATGACCAAGTGGCCCAGTCAGGCCCAGGGGAGTCAGCATCCCTTGGAAGGCACGCTTTGGACAGCAGGTGCTGGCCAGGCACAGGGCTGTGTCATCCAGACTTGCTGCATGACCTCCAGCCTCCCGGCCTGGACTCAAAGAAGGGACCATGATACCCCTTCCAGTACCCATATCAAGGCCTGGCTGGCATAGGGCACCATCCACCAGGCCTTCCTTGGTGGACCAGCCCTGCACTCTAAATGGGACAAACGTACTGCTGCCAGTGCTGGTATGACCACACTGACACTTCACCCAATCAAGCCATCTACTCAGGTCTGGCTGGGGTGTCCAATTAGGCAAGGTGACCTGGAGCACCCTGGGTCACCTTCTTGCTGAGGCAGGGTGCAGATGGTCCTCCCAGGGCCTAACTCGAGTCTGATGGAAGCTTGGGACAGAAAGGAACATGCACTGGGCCCAGCAGCTCTGTCTCCTGCAGCCCCTGCAGGCAAGAAGGACCACCTAGAGCTGGAGAGATTGTGGGGGCTAGGGGGAGCTGGCCCTCCCTGGGGCCTCCATGGAGCCTCAAAAGCTGGGGATAGGAGGGAGGAGGAGGTGGGCTCGGCACTCAGGGACACTGTCTTCCAAAAGGTGTCCTTTAAGCCAGTTCCAGAAACTATCCCATGGGAGAAGACGAGGTCAGCTTCCAAAGTTCCTGATGCAACATGAACAGAGGAGCCAGGACAATTAATTCATTATCAGACAGATGCAACAATTAATTCATTATCAGACAGATGCCTGTCCCGAGGCAGCCAGGAGAATTAATTCATTATCAGACAGATGCAATTCATTATCAGACAGATGACATGTCTCCTTGGAAAATACCCTCAATGCAGGAATGGCAGAAGACCATTTAAGTTAGAGTCCAGGCCAGGCTCAGTGGCTCACGCCTCTAATCCCAGCACTTTGGGAGGCCAAGGCAGGAGGATCGTTTGAGTCCAGGAGTTTGAGACCAGCCTGGGCAACATAGCAAGACCTCGTCTCTACAAAAAAATCTGAAACACTAGCTAGGCATGGTGGCAGGTGCCTGTAATTCCAGCTTCTTGGGAGACTGAGGTGGGAGAATCACCTGAGTCCAGGAGATAGAGGCTGTGGCAAGCTGTGATCGTGCCACTGCACTCCAGTCCGGGCAACAGAGTGAGACCCTGACTCAAAAAAAAAAAATTCGAGTCCACATTTGCAAAGTAGGAGTGTGCAGGGCCTGGCTCCCTGGGCCCTGCTTCTAGGTACAAGCTCAGGGTTAACTCCAAGGCCCTCTTCCAAAATCTGTTTCCTGATAATAACGACCTTCCTTCCCGCAGCCTTCCCAGAGCTCCAGGGCTGTCCTTAGTACTTCTATGCATCTGTTTCAAGAGCGTGAGTTCTGAACCGGCTCAGACAATGCAGAGTTTCCTGGCCTCTGCATTCTCCCCACAAGCGAGCGACAAAGTGACCAGCCTGGCGAGAAGCCTGGCTCCCCACCCGTGCCAGAAGCAGTCCCTGGGGTGGTGGGTGGTGCAGACCTGCTGGGATGGGGACACTCAGAACCCCGTTCCCACAAGGAGGGCCAGCCCTTGGACTCTGGGCAGGGGACACCCTGAGGACCTTCAGCACCTCTTTAGCGGGTGGGTTCCAGCCGCTCGGTCCTGCCTCTCACACAGTCCCCAAGGTGTGGGGAATGAGGCGGGTGGGAAGAGTGAGCTCAGGTAGTGACAGATTCAGGGTTGTGCCTGCGTCCAAAAACAGATCCCCAAAGAGCCTGCTTCCCCAGGCTGCCTGGGACAGGCAAGGCCAAGCCCAGAGCGGCTCACAGGTGTCAGCCCCTGCCTCAAGCCAACTTCTGGGGGTGCAGATGTGGCACATAGCCCGGCCAGTGCCCCAGCCCAGCAGAGAGCCCGTCTAAAAATCATCACCAGGATGGGGTCACCACCTGGCCACCATGCAAATACCTCCAGAATCTTCAGGTGAGAAGATCCCCTACCAAGGCACAGCTTGCCCTGGGCGACTGTCCGCATCAACTTGAAGGCCCAATCCTGAGTTCAAATCCTACCCCTGCTTCTCTCAGGCTCGTGACCTTGGGCTGGCTACCTACTTCCTCTCAGCGCTACCTTGACTGGTGGCTACCTGGGACTCACTCCTCATGGCCCCCCGGGGAATGCTGTCTCCAGTGACCCTTGCTTGTGCTATGTCAGACTCTCGAATGACAAGGACTCACCGACTGACGTCACGAGCCCCAACTCTGAGTACAAGGTCTTTCCACACACGGAGCTGACATTGGCTTCCCTGTGACACCCACATAGCCGGCTTCTATGACCAAGTCCACACCGTGGGCCCATTCCTGTTCCTAGGGTCAGAGCCTCTGGTCCACTGCACATAAAGACCCATGGTTGAAAGTCTGTCCGAGACAACAGCCAGGCAGCACATACTCACCCAGGACATCGGCAGACTTCTTCCTCTCCACGATCTGAATGTCTCTGGCGCCGGCTGGGATATGGGTCACCAGAGAGTAACCTGGAAGCAAACCGAGGGCGTCAAGTCCCCAGAGGCCTGTCACTGGCCCCAGCAAAACCCTTGACTGAGTGGCGTCCCAGAGATGGGTGAAGCCCTGCTGGTGGCTGTGGCCTCTTGACGAGAAAGGCGCTCCGGTGGGTGGCATTGGCCTATTTCCCTGGTATAAACATTCCTACTATGGCCAGTTTCAAACCAGCAACATGATGTCACCGGGCACAGAATTGGGAAGAGACAAGGTAGCCCACCTGCGCGGAGTATTTCTGCTACCAGTCCTGGGTGACACACACCACCTCCCAAGCACCTGGTGGAAGAGAGTGGCCCTTAGGGCCTGCATACCCCCACACAGGTGTGGGGGGCTCACCTGGGCCCTGTCCTGTCCCAGCAGCTGACCCCCCGTGCCAGGCACCTGCCCAGGATCGCGTTCCATGGGTGACTCATTGGTGGGTGCCCGGCCTCTCCTGAAGGACATCAGGGACCACAGGGGCCTTGAATTTGCTAGAGTCATCAGACTTCGGTCCTACTCTGTATCACCCAGGAGCCCTTGACCTGTACCAAGCGCTTTGTCACCATTGTTATTTTTTAATCTTATCTTGTCACAACATCACATTGATTTTAAAGGCATTACAAACTCAAAGGCTAGAAAAGTATAAAGAGAATTGCGAATAGAATCTGGCACTCTGCCAAGCCCTCCTGTGTGCCAGAACCCAGGCCAAGGTCTCCATCAGGGCAACATCAGCCAACTCAGGGCCTGTCGCCAAGGCCTCCCATCCCAGAAGTCCTCTGAACCAGGAAGGGACCAAGGGTCTTGTTGGGAAGAAGTATTGCCAGCAGGTGGTGGAGGAGGCAATCTGGGGGAAAAGGAGAGATTTTAATAAGCCCCAGTAATAGGCCAGGTACAGTAGCTCACGCCTGTAATCCCAGCACATCAGGAGGCCAAGGTGGGAGGATCACCTGAGACCAGGAGTTTGAGACCAGCCTGGGCAACATAGTGAGAACTCATCCCTACAAAAAAATTTGTTTTTAAAATTAGTCAGGCATGGTGGCTTGCATCTATAATCCCAGCTACTCAGGAGGCTGAGGCAGAAGGATCACCTGAGCCCAGGAGGTCGAGGATTTGATGAGCTGTGATCGTCATGTTCATGTCACTGCACTCCAGCCTGAGCGAGAGTGAGATTCTGACCCAAAGGAAAAAAAAGAAAGCCCCTAGATTGAAGGATCTTCGGGGAAAGAAGGGGCTCTCAAAGATTAAAGGGTTGCTGGGCCCAATGTGCATTTCTCTGGCTCCCTTTGGGAGGTGAGAGAACCCACATGTCTGTGTCTGCCCTGACCGCTAGAGCAAGTCATTCTGCAGGCTGCCACCACTGTCATCCCTGAAGAGCCTGACCTATCCCTCACGGCCAGCTATGCTATGTAAATGTTTAGCAACAGGCTCTTTAGGGGAAGGATGAGACAGGAGCTTGGATGTGTAGCACTGGTCAGTTTCCGTGGTGTAAACACTCCCACTGTGGCCAATTGCAAATTAGCAACATGATGTCACTGGGCAGAGTTGGGAAGAGTCGTGGTAGCTCACCTGTGTAGAATATTTCCACCACAAAAATGGATAGCAAATGGATTAGAAAGTGATGACTTTGTTTTAAATACATGTTTGCTTTCTTTAATTTTTTTTTTTTTTTTTTTTGGCGTCAAGAGTCTCACTCTGTCGCCTAGGTTGCAGTGCAGTGGCACGCTCACAGCCACCCCAGCATCGACCCGCTGGGTTCAGGTGATCCTTCTGCCTCAGCCTTCCAAGTAGCCGGAACTACAGGTGTGCGCTATCATGCTCAGCTAATTTTTTTATTTATTGTAAAGACAAGGTCTCACTAAGTTGCCCGGGCTGGTCTCGAACCCCTGAGCTCAGGCAATCCTCTCTTCTCGGCCTCCCAAAGTGCTGTGATTACACACTTGAGCCACCATGCCTGGCCTGCATACTTTAATTTTTAAATGAGCAGCAGCTCACAAGATTCCTGAGCATTTAATACCCGTCTCTCGTGGGCTGGTGCAGGCTGGCTAACAAGCACAGGTCACCAGGGCAGGGGAGGGCTTCAATGGCGAGGACCACAGACCCAGATCAGCCTGCCTGGCTCAGCCCCCCATCTGTCCCTTGTGGCTGTGTGATCTTAGATGAGTCACTTGACTCCTCTGTGCCTGTTTCTGCGTATTTTGGCAACAGTGGCAGTGCCTGCCCTGTAGATCTATTGCCCGGTGTGAATGACTTGACCCAATGCCTGGCAGTAAATACCCAGTAGAATCAGGTGCAATTGTTTTTCGGGCCCCCAGCTGAGCCCTACAAGGGCGGGGATGCTGTCTATCAGACTTGCTGCACCCACAGCGCCTGGTACATAGTAAGTGGTTTATAAGGCACATGCTGCCAGAATGCCAGCTCCCCCATCCTCAGGGCCTGGGTTCAGCAGAAAGCCTTTCAGGCAGGGTCATGGAAGGAAGGGTTCTTCCACACCCCTGGCCAGAGAGAGGTCCCTCTGCCTACTGCCCTGATCAGACATGCAACATTATCCACTCCCCAACTGGCTGCTTTGCCCCAAGACCACCTTCTTCCCAGTCCTAGCCTTCATCAGTTCCACATTCCAGGTCCCTCATCCAAGCCTTCCCTTCCCCAGCACCCTCCCTGTCCCTCATGTGGGGGGCGGGAGGCCCATCCCCTTGACCTTCAGGACACTTTCAGGGCCTGACAACTGGATCTTCTGTGGCCCTAACAGGACTGGGTCTAGTCCAGACTCGCCCGGTCTCCCTGGGAGACTTTGAGCAGGTTATCCCCACTCTGGGCCTCAGTTTCCCCATCTGCAAAGCGTGTTTCAAGCTGCCCTGCCTTCTCCACCCTGGAGGTCGTGATAGGCCTGTTTAATTCCTCAAGCATCTCTTGAGACCCAGAAACGCATTCAGTCCAACACCGAGTGTTACAAGGGACATCCTCTCAAAAGTATAAGGTGTTGTCACGCACACAGATCCCCACCTCCCATGAGGGCTGGGCCAGAGTTGAACACAAACACAAGGCCAAGCTCACAAGGCTTGTTGAGTCAGAGTCTCACTCTGTCACCCAGGCTGGAGTGCAGTGGCATGATCACAGCTACAGCGTCCTTGACTTCCTGGGCTCAGTTTGTCCTTCCACCTCAGTCTCCCGAGTAGCTGGGACTACAGGAATGTGCCACCAAAATTTCTTTTCAATTTTTTTGTAGAAACAAGGGCTTGCTATGTGGTCCAGGCTGGTTTTGAACTCCAGGGCTCAAGTGATCATCTTGCCTCAGCCTCCCAAAGTGCTGTGATTATAGGTGTGAGCCACCGTGCCCGGTGTCACACAGCTTTGAAAAGGGACAAGTACTGCCCAGGGAAGGAAGGGCTCTAGGATCAGCTCAGGCTCCAAGAGTCAGGTCACAGAACCTGGCATGCTCCATCTCTCACTGGGAGACTGGGACTTGGGCCTCAGTTTCTCCCTTTCTGAAGTGTAGTATTACCAGGTACAGTGGCTCATGCCTGTAATTCAGCACTTTGGGAGGCTGAGGCTGAAAGATTGCTTGAGCCCAGTAGTTCAGAACTAGCCTAGGCAACGTAACAAGACATCATCTCTACAAAAAATCCAAATATTAGCCCATCATGGTGGAGCATGACTGGAGTCCCAGCTACTCGGGAGACTGAGGTAGAAGGATGAGGCGGAAGCCCCCCAGGTCAAGGTTACAATGAGCCGTGATCAAGCCACTGAACTCTAGCTTGGTATGAGACCTCGGCTCAAAAAAATAATGATAATAAAATAGAAAGTGTGATATTAACAACTTCCTACAGGCTGCCACCAAGCAAGTGCTCTTTGGTATGCAGTGGTGCTCATTAAGGAGCTACTCCTTCTACCAGCCAAAGGAGGCCCTAAGTACACTTGGCCAGCCCACTGGGCCCGGATGGGAAATTAGGCGGCTCGAGAGGGGAAGGGACCTGCCCGGGGGCATCCCAGAGGTGGGCGACAGAAACACACCAGGACCCTGGACCCGGACTCAGCTTTGCCGGAACCCCGGGGAACACCGGTGGCCTTACCGAGGTGGGGGTTCCCCTTGCGATAGTTGCCCGTCACGTGGGTGCAGCTGCTCCCATCCCCCTGGCAGACACCGCACTTGTCCAGCGTGTGGGTAGAGAACAGGACCCCGTCACAGCCGATGGGCTGCAGGAAGGGGAGGGGAGAGGGCCGCTGGAGGGCGCTGCAGCCGGGCCCCGGGGCCACCACGGCCTCAGACAGGCGGGAGGGCAGGCGGTTGGCGCCCTGAGACCCGCCGTACTTTTGCTACAACGTTTAACAACCTCACATTTTCCAGACACGCAAACCCCTCGCAGGTCGGTGAGCTTGCAGGACGTGCCGTCGCGGGCGGGGACCATGAGCTGCCGCTGGCCATCCACGGTGGTGCAGTGCAGGTCGCAGGGCTTGCTGGAGATGTGGACATAGTCATCTGGCGGGGGAGACGAGACACAGGGTCTCAAGGCGGGCAGGGAATGCGGGACTCAGGGGACTTTCCTTTCCCTCCTGCTGAGATGGTTCCCACTGCATAGATGGGGAAACTGATGCCTAGAGACTAGACGATGTCCCGGTGGCAGAAATGGACCAAGCCACAGGTCGTCTGCCTCAGTCCAGACTTCAAGTTCCAACCTCTGCCTCCTTGTGAGTGGGGGCAGCTCCTGAAACCCATGCAAGACGCCCCCTCTGCAGGTCTGAGCCAACTTGGTCACCCTGGGCTGCCTGGCCCTGGACACCCAGCCCAGTGCTTGCCCGGTGATCGGCAGAGGCCAACTCACTTACACTGTTGTGCAAACAACTTGCTTCTTCTCCCCTGCACACAAAAAAGAAAGGGAGCTGGCCAGGCGTGGTGGCTCATGCTTGTAGTGCCAACAGTTTGGGAGGCCGAGGTGGGAGGATTGCTTTAGCCCAGGATTTTGAGACCAGCCTGGCAACACAGGGAGACTCCCCTCTCTATAAAATTTGAAAAAATAAGCTGGATGCAATGGCTCACAGCACTTTGGGAAGCTAAGACGGGAGGGTTGCTTGAGCCCAGGAGTTCAAGACCAGCCTGGGCAACATAGACCTCATTTCTACAAAAATCAAAAGATAAGCCAGGTATGGTGGCAGATGCCTGTAGTCCCAGCTACTTGGGAGGCTAAAAAGGGAGGATCCCCTGAGCCCGGGAAGTAGAGGCTGCGGTGAGCTATGAGCATGCCACTGCACTCCAGCCTGGGTGAGAGAGTGAGACTTGGACTCAAAAAAAAAGAGGAAGAGAATTAGAGAGAGAACAGCCCTACCGCACACCCCAACCCCCGTGGGACTGTGCAGCCAGTCCCTGCTTGGCCTCATCTAGGCTGGTTCCTGTCTGTGCCCAGGAGTAAGTGAGAGTCACCACTGACCTCACAGGCCAGGCCTGCGGGCAACTCAGCCCCATAGTCAGTCCTGGGCTGATGTCACAGGCCTTGTGGGGAAGAGGACAGACCTCTAAGCCAGGGCTCAGGATCCCTGGGGTCAATTCCTGGCTCTACGTCCAACCGCCCCAGCCTCCCCACTCGCCCAGGTTTGGTCCTGGGAGCCAGAAGAGCCACCCGCAGGTACCTGGGTACAGGGGCTTCCAGTGGTAGGTCCGCCCGTTGTACACGTGGGAGTTGAATGAGATGCACTGCTCCTCACGGAAGCTCCTCCCGTCTGCGGGACACTCCTGGGAAACGAGGGAACAGGGAGGGAGGCTTCAGAGGAACTCAGCCCGACAAAGGCATTTGTGTCCAGGCTGAGTAGGAAGTGGCCACAGCCAGGATGGCCACGCAGGGCCCACAGCCCACAGGTGGCCTTGTGTTCCCCCGCGAGCTCCCCCATCACTCTTGAGCAGAAGGGCAGAGCGGCCATCACCCCCGATGCCGCCGTGGGCCAGCCCTCCTCGTGTTCTGGAAACGACCCTCCCATGTCACCCCAGTCACATCCCTGGCCAGATCCTCAGCCAGCGGCCGAGAGGATGGGATCCCCGCCAGGGCCCTGCCAACGTGGGCACCCCCTCGCCCTCTTCCTTGGCAGACCCTGTCTGTGTGTCCACAGGAATGGCCACAGCCCTAGAACAGGGTCTGCTGGTGGGCATGCACGTGGACTGAACCAGAGAGAAGGTGGGATTCGACTTCATAACAGAGGAGCCCACCCTGCAGAAGACAGGCGTGTCCCAGGGCCCAGCTTGGTCATGAGGGGGCCAGAACTCCCACTTGGGTCTGTCTCACTCTGGAGATCATAAGCGTCCCCTGGAGCCCCGGCATCAGCATCCCAGGTGACGCCAACACAGAAATGGTCACTTGCTTCCCTGCAGCCCCTGATTCCCTGCACACACGTGCACACGCCCCACGGGGACACACAGACCCAGCCTGGCCCCATGGAGCACTGACCCCCAGGCTGGGCCAGAGTTAGCCTCTCCTGTAGCCTCAGCCACCTTGGAGGCTGAGGGTACCTTATAGCAGAGGGGCCTTGCAGGAGCTGGAACCAGCCTCAGAGGGCAGCCCAGGGGGCTGTCGGCAGGGGCGGGATGCCTGGTCAATGCCAGTCTCCCCATGAGTGCCTGGCACACCAATGTCGTGAGCAAAGGCACAGGGCCAGAGACCCTTGTGATGTTCCAGGAGCAGATGCAAAGCCACCTCGTCCTTGTTCTTGACCAAGCACATGTGGGCGTGGGGACAGTGGCCTGGGGCTGGAAAGACAGCTCAGACTGAGCCCTGGACCCCACATTCCTCTCTTCAGCAGAATATCCACCCTGCTCCCAGGCTCTCCGTGAAGGGGCAGGCTCTGGACAACATCCGAAAGGCCCAGGGCCACCAGGAGGCCCCCTGAGAACTGCCTAAGGATGGGGAAGAAGGTAGGGTCACAGCCCCATCCAGGCCAGGCCAGGCCTCACCTGCACTCTGCAGAGCTGGTACCGCTTGGATGTGCCCATGCAGGTCCTGTTCCCAGACCCCGAGACAGACTTCCTCCTGGTGGAAAAACGTGGGCTCTGGGCAGGGCTGGCACGGAGGCTGCAAGCCCCGATCCTGCATCAGGGATGGCCTGAATGTGGCCTGTGGGCTGTGGACTGGCCTCCCTGACTCCATGACTCCCTGACCGAAAGGACACTGTCCTCCCCCAACCAGATCCTGAAAAGGAATGATATTTGATTGACCCTATATCCTCAGCCCTTAGGACAGAATCTCAGGACACAGAAAGAGTGACAATGACCAGAACGTTTACTGTGTGCCGGGCTGTGCTTTGCGTGTTCTAAATACGAGGAGGCTTCCAGCACACTCTCCGTGACCCAGATGAGAACACTGATGCTCGGAGAGGTTAAGTGACTTGCTAGGTGGTAGTAGAGGTATAATTCGAACCCATGTCTCTCTGACTGTACGGGCTCTTAACTGCCATATCCCTACGCTTCTCCCTGCAATTATTCAACTCAAGTCTTCTAAGGAGAAGGCCAGGGAGGGGGTCTCCCCTCAGTGATGGAGCTCTAGAAATGGGTCCTGCTTTCTCATGAAAAGGCTTGACCTGGAGCACGAAGAACCCAATTTGGAGACCCATCCAGAGCTGTATCCCCAGCAGAGGCCCGAGGGGAAACGGAGGCTGGGTTGCCTACCACTAGACAGCCCTCCTAGGGTGAGAAGCCGGCAGCTGAAGGGTGGGCCGCCCACTCCTGTTTCCCCGCCCCCCACTCTCAGGTGGGTCCATCAGGGTCACAGCCCACCTAGCACCTCACCTCTGCTGCAGACAGTGCCGCTCCTGGGATGTCACCCCGCCCCCACAGCTGCGCGAGCACGCCGTCCACTTCGTCCACTCCCCCCACCAGTAGGCCGTGGCGTCGGCGCCCCCCTCCAGGCTGTTGGACGTCGGGCTGTTTTCCTGGGTGAAACGCCCCCACCCACAGTAGAAGGAGGCTCCAGCGGCCGGCAGGACTGGCCTGTCCCCCACCCCACACCCGAGGGCACCGCCACCAGCTGGACAGGAGGACACAGCCCCCAGGCTGCCCCAGCAGGGTCTCTCAGCAACCTAGGTGGTGTTGGAGGGAGCTTTTGGTAGGGACTGTGGGCCCTGGGTCTTCCCTGACCTTAATCGGGGGGACAACCTGGCAGTTTGGCAAGCTCTGGAGCCATACCTAACCGTCTTGCTTCCTGCGGGACACAACCCATCCTGGGCACACGCCTCGTGCCGCACCTTCACTCGGAAGGGGGCCACTCAGTCACCCGCAGCCCTCTTCCACCAAGGCGCCAGGAGCTCTGAAGTGGCCAGGACCCCAGTTCAGGGGCTGGGCTGCCTGGTTCTGGGTACACATTCCTGAGAGCACATGCCCCCCCAACTGCCTCTCTGAGCCGACCCATTTGGGAGTGACCACAGCACCTGGGTGGGAGACTGCTGTGAGGGCCCCCGGATGACAATGCCTACTCACCGTGGCTCCGGTCGATGCCACGGTCCCCACCACAGCCGCCAGAGCCAGGAGAGACCAGGCCCAGTGGGAACGCTGCCGTCTGCTGTCCATTCTAGGAAGGAAGGCCACTGTCACCAGCAGGCCAGTTCCTCCTCCAGGTGACCAGGGTGCACTTTGGAAAGAGCCCTCAGGATCCAGCCAGTGTCCAGACTGCAAGGTTATCTGGGACTGATCAGTCCCGGCCACGACCTGGCCCTGTGTGGAAGGACAAACCCCCACCCCGTCTCAGCTTAGAAAGAGAGAGCTTGTTGAGTGATCAGAAATATCTGCTGTGGGCTAAGACACAAGTGTGGAGAGACAACATCCCCCCCACTCCTGGCTTAGCAAGAAGGAGCTCGGTGAGTGATTAGAGATGCCTGCCATGGGCTAAGACAATGAGTTAGTGGTGTGTGTGCTGAGTCTGTGCCACCCTTGACTCAAGGGCGTGCAGGGAAATGGCCACATTTTGCATCTGAGTACCTGAGCTCCCTAGAAAACGACTGGGGAGAAAGTCAGGCTCAGCTGAGGGACTGAAGGCCCTGGCTGAGGAGAGGTTTCGTGAGGACAGACCTGGGCTCAGTCCAGCGCCTTGGCCAGAACACCTGGGGATTTTTACTTCTCAGTGCTTGCTAGCCCCATGGGAGAAAGACCCTCTGCCACCAACTGCACGGGGCAGCTGAGGGCCAGTGGATGGGGACAGGCTTGGTCAGGCCCTGCCGCTGCCAGGGCTGGAGGCTGGGCCGTCAGGGAACCTGCAGCCTCGTCTCCCCAGGTGAGCATCCTCACGGCATGGCCTCCAGCCACGGCCAGCTGGCAGGTGAGGCAGAGCCCAAGTGTCTGAGCCACCCCCCTCCTGAGAGAGGCTGGAACTGGGGGAGGGAGACAGGAGGAGGTGCAGCTTGTCCCAGCGGCCCAGGGCCACATTCCGGCACCCCTCCCTCAGCTCAAAACACCTGCCAGGAGTCACATCTAATCACACTGAGGGCAACACCCAGCCTTCTGGGTCCTCAGTCCCCTCAGACCCCTCAGCATGGACCCTGCCCTCTGGAAGGCAGGAACAGAGACCTAAGTGGCCTCTGTCCAGTGTTTGTCTCAGGTCCTTAGTGTCACCTGCCCGTGAGTTAGAGAAGGGATTTCTGAAGCTGCCAAGGCCCATGCCCATAGCCCGGATCCCAGAGATGGAAGCTGATTTACCCAAAGCCACACGGCAAGGCAAAGGAGTAGCAGACTCAGGGACTCCAGGCACAGAAGGCATGGAGATCACTTCACCCCTGCCAGCCCTGAGGCCACCTCCAGGTCTACTCCTCTCCCTCTTTGGCAGGCTCCGTGCAACTTGAATTCCCTCGCAGGCCAGGCACCTGTGGATTTTCAGGCACCACGCCAAGAACACCCTTGCACCCCGGACCACGCAGTGGGGCACCCCTGGAGTTGGGAACCAGAGTCCTTGACCCCCACCTCATCCCGCACCCTCAAGCTGCCTGACCGGTCCAGCTGGCCGCCCCTCCCCCGCTGTCTCCATCTGCACCCCAGCCTCACAGCCGGCAGGAGCTCCTTTGCCGTCCCATTGGCTGGCGGG